CCCTGCAAACTCTGACCCGCTACGCCTCTTGCCCGAGTGCAGAAATTTACCCGACAGATCAACCATTAGTTGCAATAAAAGCACAACATGTGGGGAGGCACCACAGAGAATTAATGATTGGCACAACTTTCCTCTGCTCCCTCCTGAAGCTAGATTCAGAGGTCAGCCGTGCTAGTCTCACAGAATCATAGAATCACAGAGTTGGAAGGGGCCATACGGGCCATCCAGTCAACCCCCCCCCCCCGCTCAGTGCAGGATCACTGCCTGCAGTAGAACATCAAAACAAGAAAACAATGCATGTTTTGGCACATGCATTGTTTTCTTGTTTTGATATACTGCTGTGCCAGTGCCTTTCATGCAGAAGAACATCTACTGTGCCTGACAAAGGGAGGCTCTGACTCTCGAACGCTCTGAAGCTCTTGTTGGACTCTAATGTGCTAACTGCTCTCGAAGCCAGTTATTGTGCGTGATACTAGTGCCCATGTTCCAAATGCATAAATAGTTACAGGCTGCATAAGGAGACTGGGCTTTGGAAAAAGATTGTGCCCTGATTTTCATGCTTCCCTCAAGCTAAATCACCGCACAACATCGAAATTACTAAGGGCCAGAAATAGAGGACAGAAGGAAGCAAAGCATACCGTGAGGCTGCACTGAGGCAGACATTTAACAGGCACACCCTGTCCAGTGTTCCCTCTAAGCTGAGTTAGTGTGAGTTAGCTCACAGTTTTTTAGCCTCCAGCTCACACATTTTTGTCTTAGCTCAGGAAGGGATGGCTCCAGAGCAAACGAATGTATGCAGTAGCCGAATTGCTCACTCACAACTTTAATGCCAGTAGCTCACAACATAGACGTTTTGCTCACAAGACTCCACAGCTTAGAGGGAACATTGATCCCTGTCCCCATAAGATGAAATGCCTTCCCTGTTGAATTAGTCCCACGGAGCTGTCATCCAACTCACAGAACCACAACCTGCCTCCAAACAACTTGCAAAGGCTAGAGGGTGTGGCTGTCAGGCAAGCATGGACAGTGTGTGCATGTGTGTATCTTTACCTGCTTCCAGTTTTTCTCCCCAGATTTTGGCATGCCTCTCTCCAGGAAGCCACAAGGGCCCTCACTCTCCAAGACCTGTGCAAGGCTGTTAAAGATAGGACTTTTTTGGAGGTCATTCGTTCACAGGGTTGCCATAAGTCAGAAGGAGCTTGACAGTACTTTATCACACATACACTGTCCTGGAGTTTCTATCAGCTACTCTTCGGGAGAGATCTTTAGCCAGTTGAGGATGCTTTCTGAAGCCACCCTCCAATAATCATCCACTTGTTTCAAAATGAAGAATCACAGAGTTGGAAGGTACCTCCATGGTCATCTAGTCCAACCCCCTGCACAATGCAGGAAATTCACAAATATCTCCCCCTCCACACACGCCCCCAGTGACCCCTGCTCCATGCCCAGAAGATGGCAAAAAAACTCTCCAGGGTCTCCAGCCAAACTGGCCTGGAGAAAAACCGCTGCCTGGCCCCAAAGTGGTGATCAGCATTTCCCTGGGTGTGTAAGAAAGGGCCCAGGACAGATCCTTGAGACACTTGTCATTCCTCTCCAGGAGGTTGAGGAACCATTCATAAGCACTCTTTGGGTCTGATCAGTCAACCAGTTACAGATCCACCAAACAGTAATAAAATCCAAACCACACTTTACCAACTTGTCAACAAGAATATTATGTGGAACCAGGGGTCATTTCCTGCAGGAGCGCACAGGAGCGGAGCTCCGGCAGTAAAGAGCCCAGGGGGTGGGCACATGCAACAAGCCCCACCCCCTGCTCCCAGCAGCCCTCAGTCAGAGCAAGAAGCAGCCAGGTAAGCTGCAGAGCTCCCCCCAGCCCCCCAGTCCAAAACAGTCCAGTGGCACCTTCAAGTTTTATTCAGGTACAAGCTCTCCTTCCTCTGTGAGGACAGATCTGCACGTCCCCCCCCCCAATAGCCAGCAATCCAGAACAGTCCAGTGGAGCCTGAGCGGAGGGTGTTGCCCTCTGACTCACTTCCAGTGATGTCAGGGGGTGTGGTGTATGCAAATAAGTTATGCTAATGAGCTCCTGCACCTCTTTTTCTACAAAATGACCCGTGTGGAACCTTATCAAAATCTGGATTTGAGTCCAGTAGCACCTTAAAGGTCAACAATATTTTCAAGGCATAAGCCTCCCAGAGTCAAAGCTCCATCAGATAGATATCTAGCTTCGTCAAAAGCTTATGCTCTGGGAATCTTGTTGGTCTCTAAGGTTCTACTGGACTTGAATTTTGCTGTTCTGCGGCAGACCAACATGGCTACCCACCTGAATCTTGTTTCCAGGTGTATTCCTTTGAATCACTCCACCCTCTTTGTTGTTAAGGATCTTTCAGAGAATACACAGATCCACCTTTGCCTGTCTCAGAGGCAGAAAATAACCTTGCGGGTGTCAATTGCTCATGCCCCCAGTTATGCTAATGCCCTTTCCCTCTGAACTCCATCCAATTTGTCAGGCCTTTTGAAATTAAAACTCTGTTTAGCCATGAATAAATGTTCAACTTAATTACCATGAAATCCAGGAATACCTTAGCTGCTTTCTACTTCAGGGCGCCAACGGGGATTGCAGCAACACTGTCTAGCAGGCTAGCTGGGTGAATGGTTACGGAATGCAGGAATTAGACATTTCACTGTGCTGTCGTCAGAATATATTGGTAGCCACACTGGGCGGGGGCGGGGTGGGGATAAACCTTAAACTGAGAGTTGTGGTCAAAAGAGTGCTTCCTAGTGATCATCTCTGACTTCTCTAATATAACAAAGTGGGACTTGCAATCGAAGACTGGGTTGTTATTTAAAAATATGTGGCCACCTTTCCATTCTGAGCTTCCCCCACCTCTTAGGGGATGGGGTTTGCCAGCTTCTGGACCAGCTCCTTTAAGGGCAAAAATTAGCAGGTGAACATACCATAAAAAGCTTCTTCAACAGCTGCCTTCTTCACAGAAGGTGCCATCAAGTAGTACAGTGATCCCATAGGGTTTTCAAGACTTTCGGGGGTAGTTTGCCCTTCCCTGCCTCTGCGTAGCAATCCTGGACTTCCCTGGTGGTCTCCCATCCAAGTACAAACCAGGGCGGACCCTGCTTAGATTCTAAGACTGGGCCTAGCCTTTAAACCTCTCTTGAAGGGACAGAAGAAAGCCAGGCCTGGTAGGTGGCAGAGGATTTGTCACAGTCTTCTTGTAAAACAAACTCAAAAAACCTTTTAAGAAAGGTGGGAACTTTGCAAGGAGGTGGCATAAATGGAGCTGTTGAGCAAATCAGTTCGGAGATTGCCCTGTTTGTTTACACTTCACACAGGGCTCTGCATGTCTCTGCAGGGAGCCACTGCATCAGAGGAGGCCCTGAGAAGGTGACAGGCAAGCCTACCCAGCC